ATTTATATATTATATATTATTATGATATGTGTGTTCATTCAGCGATTGAAAAGTAGGTCGAAAATAAATGTTCCTCATTCTCTCCTAATATGATGGTCACTCGATGGTGAACCTACATGTCTTTGAAGGGAATACAGATTTACTTGCCTCGAACAAATAGGGAATCTTTTGATCACGCTTTCAACCATTTTGGGATCGACTCTTTAACATTTAAATATTCCGGGACACCATTACTACAAAAATTATAATCTAGTCTCATTTCTGTCTGTAATATTTTATTACAACTTATAACTATGTTTTGGGCATTGAATAAAGTTGAACTATTTTGGCGCTCAAAACTAACTTGCTTTCTAAAATTGCTTTATAAAATTGTCTATTGTTTTACTTTTAAGATACAGCTAGTACGGAGTAGAAAGGGTGTGGTAAGCTACAACTTAATCATTGGCGTAATTGATTTCCACTATTTTATTGTTAAAACCAATTTTGTTTTGTCTCCTGATTGAAATTTGGTAATTTTGCTGGAAATGGAAAGTAATATCACAATGCAGTGCTTTACATCGTTCCGATAATATCGCCAGTTGCTGGGTATAAATCCGCTGAAAATATTCATTCTATCCGTCTTTGATCGCAGGCCAGACTTTACAATTAGTAAACAAAAACCAGGAAGACCGCACTACTCTCTTCATGCTTTATTGCGTCATTGCATACCTCTTTTTGAAACCACCAATTTGACCATGTGACGATTGGAAGGTATTACTTAGGTGCATCACTGAGCTGTTGCTACGTTCAACTTTTGTAGTCTAGTCTTTTGGGCACACGTTGCTTCTTATAGTAGTTTAGAACTTTTATTCAAATCTAATCAAAAAGTTTTAGATATTGTATGAGGAACACATGATTTCATATCTGAGATGCCATCGTCTCGTCACTGTCTAATGGGACCTATTGTCCTGATTAATTTTCATTTTTTATGAGTCTGAAAATTTGACTTACGCGTTTTGTAAGGCTTCTCCACGTTCGATCAAATTTTAAAAGTGGGTTGTAGTCTGCTGCCCAATCTGAAAAACCTGATCCTCTCAGTTATTACTGTAACTCTGAATTAGCACAGACTGGCTGACCTCGCAAAACTTTGTTATCCAATTGATCCTCGTGGTTCCTCAGTTTCCTAAACAATCGTTTTTATATTGTGTTCAGGGCACGTTCACTGATTGCCTGCGTCAGCTTGTTTTAAGCCGATCATGCTCACGTTTCCCAGCTGTTTTTAATATTTCTGTAAGCGTGGCGATCATGCCAATTTGAGATCGGTATTGAAGCTGACAGTTACCAACCCCACCACAAACAGCCCAGAACACACGTGCTGAGACTTTCCTACTAAAAATAGGACGCAGTAATTGGCGCGTCATTAGTGATATTACTACAGCTTGATTACTCTGTCGCTTAACAATGTTGTCATGACAATTATGCAGCGGATCTATCTTGACGATGAGATCCCCCATTTCCGCGATCCACCGTAATTTTCATATAACGATCAGCTTATAACGACAGCAAATCAGCGGTGCACCATCACAATTTCATTGTTGCTGTGTCATGTTGTCCAACGGTAGATATTTGATAAATTTATCAAGTACACACGTATACTGAATAGCCTAGCGACGTTCGTTTGCCTCTGCAATTCACATTTTCCTCGATAATGGATATGCGGACATTGTGTGTCTCTTTTGTGTCGCACTTTCTGTGTCCATTGTTGCAGCGTATATCAAGCCACATCCAGCCCGTAATTACAGCGAATTGTAGCCTGATCTTATTGAGGCGGTTGATCCAGGTATACCTTCGCATGTGAGCGATTAGTGCGACAAATGTTGTAGTATAATGAGCTGACTGTATGTGAGGCTGATGCTAGAGAGAGAGAGAGAGAGAGCGGCGGGTGAGGAGGATCAGTGTGCCAAGTATTATTATGATGATGATGATGATGGTGGTGTGCACTGTGAGCTAATTAATAACAACACTACTCTCACTCCCCCATCATCCCACGCAATCAGGCCCTGTCGTAACACGTTTTGTATCCTGTACGCTGTGAACTGTGAAGTGTTTGTTATTTCGTTGTAAGTCGTATTCTTATTTTGCTTGCGTGCTAAAGTTAATCTATGACCCTTCCTATTTATATTTTTATACTTTTTATACTTTATAATTTCATGTTCGTAACATTTCCACAAGGTGGTCCCTTAGTTTAATCTCCACTTCAGTAGGCAGCGAAGATGGCATCGTTTAGGAGTATGGTAAGTTGGTTGCTCCCTCCGGGAGTTCACCGTGCCGGACCAATGCCGTGTTGTTCTGTCCGGACCAGCTCGCTGGAACAGAGCCGAGTGGTTAATCAGACGGACTACTGGCTGAAATACTGGTATAACGACGCTTCAGAGGGGGGTGGGGAGGATTTTGAGGTACTGGACGGGTTTTGGGAGCCCCCTGACGAGGACGATGAGGATGACTTTGAAGACATCACTGTGACACAAGGGACAGTCAAACCTGTTCGACTGGGAAACATAGCATCTCAAGTAAGCCTCGTGGCCCAGGCTAAAGCGAAGAAAGATTCAGTTGGTGACACCAATGATAATATGAATATGAGTATGGGTAGCTTTGGACTCGCCCAGGGTATGAAACTCTGTATGCAACCATTGGTGAATTCAACAGTAACTGAAACAATCACTGTGGCTGAAGAGAAACTGGAACCGGAGGATTATTTTTCCCGCCTCAATTCAAGAATCAGAACACAACTGGAGGTCTCCTTCGGGCACCCCCCTTTAAAACGGGAGAATTCGGAAGATGCAGATGTGGAAGACAACAGTTATGAGGAAAGCTATTGGTGTGAGACTCCGAGTGCAATTCTGGAATTATATCATCTACCTCAGAGTGCTAATTTGCAGATCTATCATATACCTTAGAGTGCTAATACTGAGGCTTAAGTTTCAACATTTACTTGTCTCTATCATTTTAATTTGCAGGTTTGATCGTCTATTAGTAATTTTAATCTCATTTTGAACTTTCTATTTTTTAATCTGATTCGTCCCCCAATTTTAAAGCACATTTGGAAGTTGATTCTATCTTTATCTTAGTTTTTCTTCATTTTTTTCCAGTTTTATCAGAAATTATTCTGAAATTTGAGAAACTCATTCTCAATCTTGATCTGATTCTTTTATCCAACATTTCACCTTTCGTTAACTTGGACTCTCCTTTTATCAAACTCTAAATACTCCTTTAGTTGCTCTCACATTTGTATAATACGCGATAGTAGTAGTCGGATCCCAACCGTTCTAAAAGGCTATCTCGTTAGCTTTTCGTGTTAAAAGCGATTTCTCAACGGTTATCACCTCTCTAGATGATTCTTAAAACATTTGGACACTATTGCATTTTTGAAAAAAATGCAATAGTGGTGTTTTCGGCCACACCCTTTTTCAGGGTTTCGCGGTAAGTCGAATTTTTGTATTTCAGCCCAGGAAGGTCTTAAAGACTATTCCGATACACCAAAATGTGCCTAATAGCCACATTTATTTACAACTTATCAAGCAACATATACTTTAAAATGCTTCGTTTCGGAAATATGACCGAAAAACGGTTTTTGGCTAGATGCAGTTCATAATTTCCGTGATTTTTGGCATTTCCGCCTAGGAAGATCGTAGAGACTATTTTGATACACTAAAATGTACACAATGGCCACATTAATATACAACTTATGAAGCAACATATACCCTAAAAGGCTTATTTTCGGAAATGTGGCTGAAAAACGGATTTTTGCCGAGGGAAAAATGACAATATTCACAAATGGGCTATTGGACTGTTAACTAGAAAAGTCTTAAAGATATTTTTTGTAACAAGATGTAAGATGACTCACTTTGTGTCCAGAAACACCTAAAAAATTGGAGAATGATCTACTTTATTGGGCATCTCTCTTAATGGGCCAGGCCAGCAGCATATTTGTCTTACGAAAGGGTAATTTTTCAAAATTACGGTTTCTTAAGGTCAAAGGGTCGGCTGCTAACAGCAAATTGTTTGCAATTACCGACCCATATCATCATATAGTTATACTGAAAAACGCTCACTTTAGGAGTCATCAGCTAATAAGTTTAACTAGTACTACTGCATGATTTGTGAAAACTCCAACAATTAATTTTCATTGGCACCAATTTAAATAGAATGTGTGCCAGACCAAAATTGAAAATTCAACTTCAAACTTTTTATTTATTCATGCCATGAAACCATGATATATGTACCAAAATAAATCGGCACTGGATCCGGGCCAGACTGTTGCTTGACCGCTGACCAGTACCCCACTTTATAATTATGATTGATTTCGCTGCCTCGACCAATATTGGTCTGTAATCCCTGGATTGAGATCTGTTGGCTGCAGTTTAATTTATCTAATTTCCTATAATACCGCAGTGGTTTGGTTCCCACTTCAGAATGACCCCATATTCTTTTTTTCAGTCGCATAGATTTTCTCATAGCATGATATTGCGTATCATTCCCTCGTTTTTAATCAAATGGTGACTGGTTAGTTCTTCTGTTATTACAGCTGTGAGCTGCCTCGAGATATTTTCTGGGGCATGGGCTATAGTGTGTTATTGCTGATACACAGTACTGAGTACAGCCTACTTTAATTATTGACCATTACGGAAAGTGGTGAATTCGGCACAAGCTCCTAACAGCTCTGCCGTTCGGAGCGTGTGTATTATACCTTATAGTAGATTCTTGTGAATTTAGTATACCTTCTAGTAAATTCTTGTGGATTTAGTTCAGGCTTCCAGTAACAAATTCACCTTTATCTAAGATTGTACATTCCGTGCTACTATTTGGCGTTTATGATTTGGTTTCTGGAAATCTTTCTTGTTGCAGCCATGTTGCACATTTCATTTTGGTGTAATTTTGATAGCACTTCTTTTTATTTCACTACTCGAGCACCAACTTATTCCGCTTATTTGTTGAATTACTGATTGTTTGTACTGAACGATTGTTAACTGAGTAACGCTAGGTGAATGTGACGCCGTCCACACATTTACACGCGTCTAAACTGCAGGGGTAAGTCTATATAGTATATTCTAATATATTTCTGTGACCGACTCGAGCGCAAGAATGAACCATTCTTCATAAACATTTTTTGCATTTTATAGGTTACTGTCCTTAATGAGAAGCAGTGGACTGTGGAGTTGTTAAAATAATGAAATATTTGCGATCTATAATTACCATATATAACAGATTTAGAACTTAGAAATTATAGATCTACAGGAATGGCTCATTCTTTCGCTCAAACAAGTCACACCTCAATAAATTCATCAATGAATTTCTGGGCTTATTGGCGTCTTTTACATTGAAATATTAAACGATTGCTGTGAGAATATGCCAGACAATTGTTATTTTCAACAAACGCTACCAATTCATAGACAAATAAACAAAGAGGTCTGATTCATGTGACAACTTATACAATTTATACCCTTATCAGTTACTACTTTGCATATTTTTAGTTGGTGTCGCCGTTATTTATTCACCACCAAAGTTTTGTAAAATTTTGTTGCCACTTTGATGCTGCTGAGGTACTCAAGTCCATTCTGATTTTAAAAGTTTGTATTTCTATGATTTTGTAAGGTGCATGGTTTTAACATTATTAGCTATGTTTCCTAAATTTGTATATTGAAAGTCTTGGTAAACTTGGTAACGCATCAATTACCATACTTATGCTTTAGTGACCGTAGTAACGCACTAGTAACCGTAGTAACGCACTGGTAACCGTAGTAACGCACTAGTAACCGTAGTAAAGCACTAGTAACCGTAGTATCAACAGGTCACTGGAGGCGGAGGATGGTGACGGTATGCCCAAGTCTGAGAAGATAAGAGAATGTGGCCGGTTCGACTTCAAGGACGGATTCAAGTACTCGGGGGAGGTAAAACTTTAAATCTTTTTATCAAACTGACATTCAATAACGGATTTTCAAATCCATACCTTTGCTGATTGTCCATGTAAATTATTATTCTGTGGAGGTGCATGTAAAAAAACATATAATTGAGATGGGATGATATTACTTGAAAAGTTTTCAACAACAGCTTAAATGAATCTTATTCAGATATTTAAATACAGTACTTTTATTTTCAGTAATTTTATTTCACCAGGATGGCTGTTGTTTCAATTTTAAGTTAGCTACTTTTCCCAGGTGGATGGGGAGGAGATGATGGCCCATGGCCATGGGGTCCTTATCGGCCCCAGTGGAACATACGCCGGGGTCTGGAGCCAAGGAATGCAGACAGTTGGTGTCTACACTTGGTATGTCGGGGCGAAATACGAGGTGAGATATTTACTGATTATCATATTATCAATAGTTAAATATGCTTCTAGTTCTATCTAAAGTTTGACATCGAACATTTGTTCACTTCACATATATATTATATATCTCTACTATAATTCAAAGAATTATGTTTTTGTAGAATGTTTGTACGACCGCCCACGTGCAAATTAGATGAAAAATAGGAATTTAGGTAACAACCAAAAGGTTCCATAGCAACGGTGTTTTAATGCACACATGCACGTGCAAAGATTGTTTTAACGTCATTTTGATCGGTTTTGTGGTAATTACGTTGTGTTTAAAGTGTTTTATATTTAAATCGGCTGTATCTTCGGTTGAGATGGATATTTTTTGATGCGATTAAAACTTTCTTTCAAAGAATACTATTAGCTTCGTCCCTGTTACCACGGGCTTTCTAGTCTCTACTGTAATTCAAAGAATTATTTCTGTATGTATGTCTGAACGACCGCCCACGTGCAAAATAGGTAAAAAGAAAAAGGTTGCATAGTAACCATGGTAACGACGGTTGTTACATGCACGTGCACGTGCAAAGATTGTTAAAACGGCATTTTTATCGGTTTTGTTGATATTACGTTAAGTGTTTAGTGCGAGCAACATTTTAATCGGCTGTATCTTCGGTTGTGTAGGATATTTTTTGACGCGATTGAAACTTATTAACAAAAAATGCTATTAGCTTCCTCCCTGTGACCACGGGTTTTCTAGTATTATATAATATGGTTATGTTTCATCTTATCTTCATCCTATACTCAGTACATAATCATCATAAAAATCTTACATCATAACGCCACATAAACTAAATTTAAATAATACTCCTTCACAAAGTATGCTGTTATCAGACACTTGCTTTGTAATGCTCAGCATTGTGAGATCCTGTTCCTTTAGCGTGAATTGTGTGCATAGCAATCATATTGTTAGAGATGCTCCAGGAGTCCACACATACCACACATACCTAGTACCTACATAAGTATAATGAACGGCTCTCTATTGCGAGCACGAGTAGTTATTATAAGTACAATTACACAGCTAGAGGCCAGCTGCTGGACAGCTCGTGTCTAATAATAGAAACCTGGATTACAGTAGATCCCATTACGTACTTTTCTTACAATGTGGGCACCAATGTACATTATATACATTTTAACTGCCTAGTGCCTGCATTACAATATACAGATAAACTGGTTTTTGTGTACATTTTGGTAAAATTGCCAGTGCTTGGCACAGATCTTTACCAAACACCGGCAGCGCAACTCTCGTAACAATTATCTAATTACAAATGGTATGTTGACGAATAGTAATTATCTAACTATCCGTAATATGGACCCAGGCTGACCCGGCTTGCTTTCCAGGGTACTTGGGAGAAGGGCAAACGGCACGGCTACGGCGTCGAGAGAAGAGCAAGGTGGGTTACATTTTACAGATATGATGTGTGTGATATCTGTACACATTTAGTTATCTATTATTTAGATACTACCGTCCGCTGAATCCTGATATAACGATTTACATTATTTACTGTCTCTTAAAGCAAGATTAATTGTTGATATTTTGATGATATGCAATTGAATAATGCCACCATTAAAAGATTCCCCTAATTGTTTTTATCATGGTAATTACCTGCAGGTGGGTGTATGAAGGAGAATGGAAGGACGATAAGAAGACTGGGTATGGGGTACTGAGGTCACACAGAGGAGCCACGTTCGAGGGGACCTGGTTAGAGAGCACTCAGGATGGGTACGGGGTCGAGACCTACGCAGACGGAGGTATTTACCAGGCCGTAGTGGACCTTTATTTAAATTAATCATAAATACCTGAATATGCGGGGCATTGTCTGGGACCAATAGTTGTGAGACTAAACGTTAACCTGTCCCAGGATTCTACATAGGGCAGTGGTACAGAGGCATGAGACAGGGATACGGGGTGAGGGTGGTAAACCCAAAGATCACACCTCGAGACATGTTGAACATCATCTCGACCCTGGCACAAGCTCAACATGGTCTGGGGGTCCAGGACAAGAAGAGTGTGTGGAACATCAAGAATTTTCCTCTTCAGAATAACACCGAGGAAGCTGGAGTCCCTCAGGTAACAGGAAGTTTTTGAAGCTTACTTTAGTGAACTGGTACTTTTTGATATATTGATGCATTTGATATGGCGAATGTTTCATATTTAGCTTCGATTCTTTGTTTTCAGTTACGAAAGTTTGGTAACATAAATAATTGTCTCCTTATTATCCCTAGATCAGAGTAAGTGTTGATCATGATGACCATGAAGAAGACGATAGGTTCGAGAGCGAAAAACCTGAGAAGCAGAGAATTCAGAACAACGGCACCAAACATCCGCCACCTATGGAGGTATGATCAACCGATTACATCGAAAATTTTTATTATAATCATAATCCAGTTTTTATGTATTCGATTCACAATCTCTCAGGTTAGAAATCAATGGGAACTCTCGACTCATCCAAACATGTTAATTTGACAAGCTGTTTGTGTACTAACCATATGATCCTGACTACCTGTGACAAATGTGATTAGATCACATGAACATATATGCTATGTGATCTGGCTTTTAACATGACGTGATCTGAGAGCTTCTCATTGCAATATATGAGAACGATAATAAGATCCACAATGTGACCCGAGAGCTTCGTAAGAGTTCATTTAGCAAGCTTGACCACCCTACCCTAGAGGTTATAAGCGTAGTTCTCCAAAAACCAGTATCAAACTTTGTTATGGATTCCTCTACCTACTCCAGTATTCTCGTGACCCCAACCACCATCATCATCAGAACAACCACTTCTCCCTCGGACACTCTCCTCAAACCTAGCACATCCTCCCCCATCAGAAAAAGATCTAGAACTCTCACTTCCTCCCCAATAAAAGATGAACCAGTTCCTCTCCCTCGCTTCAAACGACGACGCTCTCCATCATCCTCTGATATATCCGGCATCCTATCTCAATCTTCCGAAGAATTGCTCGGAAGTCTCCTATCCATCGACCGGACGAGTCAACCATCCTCTCCTGCCCCACCAAGCAACATCCGAAATCTCGTTGATGCTGGTCTTTACACTACTGTACTTCCTACGGACGAGCAGAAATCTGTAGACAAGAGACGCAGAACTACCAGTGCCACCAGCAGAAGCCTCTCCACAGATCGAACAAAATCCTTTCACTCTAGACGACGAAACAAAACGGGTCCCTACACGTTCAAGAGTACTTCTAAGTTGGCTTCCTTCTGTATAGATTTCGGATTGGACACGAAGTCGGTGAAGGACTGGTTCACACAGGAAAACGACAATTCCTTATAATTCTTCCGCTTGTAACAAGCAGTTCCTGTAGGCTCCAATTCAGTTATTGGATGGTTATTGAAATGTTTTATGTTTACCATATACTTATCTTAATTTATCAACTAATGTCATAAACCTGAATATTCTGTCTATAAATCTAGGTATACCGCGGAGAATGGAAAAATGATAAGCGTAGTGGTTATGGAGTTCTCGAAACCTGTACTGGAATGAAGTACGAAGGAGAGTGGCTCAATAATTTCCGTTCTGGTTATGGTGTTTTGAATCACAAGGTTTGTAGTCTTTCTTTTAATCAATAAATAAATCAAAATATTATGTTATGTTGTGTATTAGTTATAGTGAATTCAAAATTCATGTTTTGTTAAATATTTAAATATAAATTGTAACTAATTTTTTAATTTTTCGGCTTATTGACTTATTATTTAATTCTGTTTAAATTTTAGAATTCATCAATTCTTTGTTCTCTGAAATTTCCAAATCCTGTAGCGTAAATCGCTAATTGTCGCGCAAATGGTGTCAACGGTCGTTTGATCGAAATCGCGAGCCGGGTGGTGTCACTTCTTATGGGATCTGCCTCCGCTCCGTCACAGTTCGTCACCTCACGATTCAACAAGTTCCATGGTGTCAAGAATATAAAGGACTTCTCTAACCACCAGTAAATTATCTTAATCTACTGTTCAATTCTTTCAGCTACTACTACTACTTTACATCTACAATCACTATGGGTAACATTTGCAGAGCTACCAAGTCCAGTAAAGTTATTGATCCTCCTTCCGCATTTGACGAGAGGTACACCCTGTTAGACCACATTGGAGAAGGAGGATTCGGAGAAGTCTACACCTGCTTGGAAGTGGAGAGTGGAGCTACCTTTGCTGCCAAACTTATAACAAACTCCAGAGTTACAGAATGGAGCAAGTCTGACGTGGAACGAGTCCCGATGGAGGTGAAAGCCATGGCTTCCTGTGATCATCCCAACATCATCAAGCTTCTGGACTACTTCATCTATCAGAAACATTCTATCCTTGTTATGGAAAAGCCACTCGACTCAGCGGATCTCTTCAACTACACAGCTTACCTTGGGGGAGTATCAGAAACCGAGACCCGACAGATAATGAAACAGATCCTTGAAGCTGTCTGGTACCTTCACTACGATGCTAGAATAGTTCACAGGGATATCAAACCGGAGAACATACTGGTCGACGTCCGCAACAAGTCTTGCAAGCTGATCGATTTTGGAGCTGCTACCTGGTTCCACCCCAACACCTACTCAGAATTCTCTGGAACTAGACTGTACGCTCCTCCTGAACTCCTTCTCACTGGAAAATACAAAGCTGAAGCCCTGACTACCTGGTCTCTTGGAGCTACCCTCTACTTTACCCTCTTTTCTAGACTACCCTTCCCCAACGAGCAAGCTATAGTGGACTGTACCATCCGCCTCCCTTCAAGTTGCTCCCTCTCTCCAGACTGCCTTCTGTTCCTGCAATCTTGCCTTCATCCCAATCCTGCTAGACGACCCTCTGCCGATGGACTACTGAAACACCCCTGGCTAGCAAACATTGGATTCTTCCTCCAGTAAACATTCCTCCAGTAATCATTTCAGCAATGGAATGTCTTAAAATGATGATTGATGTATTCTTATTAATATTTGATATATTTGAATTTATTATGATAAACTATGTCTCTAAAATGCATTCAAAGTAATCAAGTCAAATAAAAATATCAACTAATAAATACTTTTCTAATCTAAGTCACACTCACTTATTCCTCATTTTCAAAACCGGAGTAAATATTTATGCTCATTTCCTTTTTTAACTTGCTTATTGTGCATTTCACTTTTTGGCAGTACTTCGATAGTACACATGAGTTAACTCTCTTTCACTGAGTATCACATTTTCATTAGACACCTACATTTTGAGAATCATTTAATTTTCGAATGAAATTTAAACCTGGTGTGTGTGTGTTTGAGCGATTTGTGCAACATTTCTGTAATGTTTCAAATTATATTCAAATGTTGTATTGTACCCTGAGGATTCAATAACGTTAGATTTATTGTTTTATTTTTCTCAGGACGGTCGCCAAGAAAGTGGAAAATGGAAGCAGAACAGACGACAGTTTGTAAAGAAGCACTGCTGGTCATCAACCGTTAAAAGTTTTAGTGTTGAGGTAAATTGGAGTTTTCAAGATTTATGTAAAGATTTCTTATAAATAATCTATTGTGATGTTATTAAAATGAGATAGATCTATAGATGATATAAAACTGATTCTTCTCGTAGGTACAGCGTGCGATGCAGGCAGCTACCCATGCTGGTAAGGAAGCAGAACGGAAGTCTCTGACGGCCCTGCAGAGGATAGAGGGAGCCAGACGGGAGGGAGAAAGTGCTCGACTAGCACTCGAACAGGCTCGTCAGCATTGTAAGCTCGCTAAACAGAAGGCCAAGTCAGCAGCTCAAAAACCACTTCGTCGCAAGGGAGTTCGCCGAGGATTCAGGTTTTGTTCAGATGATAGTAATAGTAATGACAGTGACTCTAGATCCAGGATACCGTCTAATTCGTCCGTATCAGCAGATGAATCGCCGGAGGATCTCCCAGAGGTCAAGCCCAAGAAGACTCACCCCGATAACTTGTCACGAATCACAGAGCAAAACAGTTTCGACCACTCCGACTACCACTCGGGTCCGGAGGATGGTGACCAGGAGAATAATCTGCCTCACATAATACCTGAGATGGAACACCGAACTGAGGCTGCCTCGATCAAACTCCCAGCTATAGACGAGAGTAGTGAGTGTGGGTCCACTCGTTCTTACTCCTCGTTCGTATACAGGAATGTAGAAAAGAGCATCTGCGGTGCTGCTAAGACACCCGTGTTGATATCGCCTCTAGCCCGGAATATAGTGCAGCTCAGAGAGGTTAAAATGTCGAGGAGTGGAGCAGGGACCCCTTGTAGACCTGGCAGTACCACCTCCAGTGTGGCCAGCAGCTGTCCTTCTCGACCTCTCCACTCTAAATCTCACCAAGCCCTACTCGGCCTGTCTCCCAATGAGACTGCTCAGTTGGAGAGAATGGATAGCGTGGAAATTTGAACGGAAGGTTTGATTGGCTTGGGATTTGAAGCTGAACGTTAAATTCCAAGCTGGAAAGTGATACGAATTCGATTTTTGTCGGTCAGGGAGCTGTGCAAGGGTCGAAATATTTTCAAACGGCTCCGGTTGGAAGCCTTGTGGCAACTATTACAAGATTGTGAAGACACAGCTGTAACCTACGTGATGACTTCCCGCCATTTCTATCATCAAAACAGAACATATTGAAGAAGCAATGGAACTGGGAGCGTCTCTTTGAGAATACATGCTTAAGTTGTTGAACTTTTGACCATCAGAGTTTGGGTACTTAAGCGAGCTTTATTGACAACTCATCGACTGTAAAACCCGTGTGTCACTGTTGTCCACGCTGTCGTTTTACCAATTCTCTCAAAACATAAACTGGATGCTGCTTCGTGCTTGCTGACTGTTTATTTAGAAAAGAGTCTACAATATAGACGACATTATTACCTCCGCTGTTAAAAAATTGTGACCTGATCAGATTGTGTATCTGATTTCGTGTTCATATTCGAATTCGGGCAGTGTTCCTGCCTCTTGAGTTTTTTAAGATATTATCATGACAAATTATAATCAAACTATTTATTGAATGTATATTAAGACATTGTTTAGGATTGTACAAAATGAGTATAAACATGCGGCAGGTCATTGGCTTGCTCGATTATGCTACAAGGGGTATAACTGGCACTAGTCGCTAGTTGTACCACGCACACACAAATACTAAATAAAATACATCGGGATTTCCAGCTAGGTGCTCCGAGGAATTCCTTCGCATGGGTTGGTTTTCCTTGAAAATAGCCAATTATTAAATGAGAACGAGTGGAATGAGTTCAATTGAGCATATCACTCAATCCGTGAGCCTATATTATATGAAAACAGTTATATCAAACGGCCGAAATTGTGAGCAAAGGTACTGCAATAATATTCCCAATATCAAAAGCTTAAAATTCAAATCATTAAAGTAGGATATTTACAATTTCTTTTGATTTGATATTGGCGATGCAACAGCTGGCTAAAAGTGAAAACTACGAATCAGTAACTTCTGCTCAGGTAGAAATATTGGCAGGTCGACTTGTCGCGGCTCCATTGCTCTCCTCCAGAGAAGTTTTCTTCTTGAGACTCTCCTTTTTGAGGCTAAGTCTCTGCTGATAAGAGCTGTGACTGACTCGTCTGGTCTTGGTAAGTTTCTCCTCGACAACGTTCATGTTCAGACTAGGATCTATAGTGTCGTCCACTGCAGTGGGACTCTGGGTATTTGCATCTCATATATCTTACACAATTGTACGTGCACTTTCATGTTTTAATTTTACATCGAATGCGGTCACATCAAACGGAGCTTTTTTTATATTATTTTACAACTATAGAGTTTTACACCACTAATCACTGAAGATAAGGGAAAAAGTGATAACTCACGGTTTGTGCGGTTGTATCAGTAGAATGTCCTTGCTCCTTGGTCACCGTCTCCTGAGACGCCATCCTCCGCAACAGTTTCTGTTTGGTCACCGCTTTATTCTCCATCTTGCTCGTTCTTCTGGATCGTTCTATCTTTTTTTCTGTGTCATCAATGTTCAAGCTGGGGTCCACGAGGTCATCACTGCCTACGTCTGATACTGCCACATTGTCATTATCGTCTGAACAAAGGCAAATATTACGACAATTTGTTACCTTCCGGTTTGATGAAAAGAGAAAGAATTGTCGAAATTGATATTGAATGCCCATTGTGTTCATACTAATAGTTTGAACTGGAAGGAAGAAATTTCAACACTATTGTAACTTACCCATGTTATAGTCTTCTAGATGTATTTCTGGTACTGAGTTAGGGATTTGTGTGGTTGTATTAGGGCCGTTCTGAAATCCTGAGTCAGTCTTCAACCCCTCTCCCTCCACACTAGGTCATAAGAAATACTAAATAGCTTATAATATTCAGACTTAATTCCTCTAACTCCTGTTAACCAAACTGAAAGCAATTATGTGTCTCTGGACATCTCAAGATGAAATTATCATGAGCGGGAACTGAACTATTGGAATAACAATTTAATACCTGATAGGATCTTGGTGTGTAGTGGTTTGTACCCTTGGAGGTCGTGTTGTACCGTTCCCTGTTTGGGCTCCCTGTTTGGGGTTCTCTTGTGGCTTGATGTATACCGTCTCTACTCGTCTGGAATATTACGGCTGTCAATAATTACAATCACCACTAACGGTACTTATTATCCCTCGTTAAAGGATATGGTGCCCTCAAAAGCAGAATCAAAGTTTCAATGTCCTAATTATTCCATCCGCTTAGTTGTAAATAACAGCGATATCGATACAAAACAATCTTTAAGAAAAAACACTTACTTTCAGCTTTCCTGATCAATACAATTTTGACTAACACAGTAACTGTGAACAGGCACAGTGGCAAATGCTCATGTGTGCATATATTTGGTCCAAAATATGATCAATTATGATTGATGATCGATAGATTCATATTATATCAATTCGTAAAAATTACAGTGGACGGAAATCGCAATGAAGATTAGCAGTTTTAAGGCCTCCTAGTCCTTACCTTCTTATCTCAATTCACAGTTGGCAATTAAATTTCCACAAAATTATATCAAACAGCACAATATGTAAAAATACCCAAAGTCTCGTATTACCAGCCGACGGCCGCGTATAACCAGTCCCAGAGTTAAGAACTTAGTCGGGTCACGTGACCAAATATTACCCCACGAGAACCCAATTGATCAGCTGAACAATTCCGGTACAGCGGGTTTTTAATTTCATCAAAATTTAAGAAGGGCAGTGCAGGTGGCTGACCGAGTCGCTAACAGTCGTTTGTAACAATGACACAGATTAGTTTTGAGATGAGATCTTGGGGTTATTTGTTGTCGCTGGTGCGTATCGTCCAGTGTGTACCCCTTTGAAATGTGATCATCAGACTCAAAGTAAAAAGAAATTGGTTTACTACGTCCATTACTCAAATGTTCTCGAATGGTCGAAATTCTATTCACTGTTTGATCTGCCTAAGAACGTCACCGGTGGACCTAAATTTAGGACAATGAACTTTCGTAACTGCTTCTGATCTTATTTTTGAATAAGACTAAGACTAAGACTAATACTAATAAGTAAGAGGCTGTCTGAAAGTGAAAACTCAAAAGTAAGTTATCGAAAGTTAAGCCGACACAACAGTACTTACGTTTCCGCAGGAGACACGGAGCACGCAGCCCCCATCTTTAGTATTCCAGGGGTTTCTTTTATATACAGTCTTGTAGTATCGTGGTGTAAAGGATTTGCGGGAGTGGTTCCTCTACCCTTGTTTGCTTCACAACATTTTACATATCTGAAAACTAAATAGTTGTGATTAATGCAACATGTCATTTGCGTGCATTATTTAAGTTTGAGTCATCCAAATACATAAAATCAACATTTGATTTTAACAATTTGTAAAACAGCAGCTGTTGGTTATGTAGATCGAGCGCCTCAGGTTCGATATTCATATAGCTTGACAGCTAATCTGTTGACCAATGCGGTGAACCTTTATAATTTTGGCAATTGAACCTATTGCTAGCAATATAAATTATGATCATGACTTTGGGACGTGCATTATAAATAAAGCAATTAGCGCAGTAACTATTCCCACAATACACATTGAAAGCACAAATATAGTAAGTTGCTAAGAGAACTGAGAAGGAAATGTGATAAGTGCACGAGGAACCACATAATGGGCCTGCACACTTCCACTGTTTTACCATGATGCTTCAGTCTAGTACAGTTAGTGTTACTGCGAGGGTAGAAGCCAGTGTCGCCTGGTAACCAATGTTAAGTTTAAAGCTGAGTCCACAATCCATGAGCAACTATTTAGATTACAAATTAGGGCAAGCAGAGTTGAGACACAGTTAATAAACTGCGGAGTGACTAAAATGCTATACATCAAAACAGAAGGCTCCAACCAAACACTCTACCTACTGATCCTAACCACCCTAACCACTTTCTAACTCAATCTCTAATAATTGTGTATATTGGTCGTTAGAATATAGCGAGATTTCATTGCTTCTATTATGATGTCGTAAGAGAGGGTAGAATGTTTTATGATAAATATTTTAAGTAGTGACCCAAGAATTTGTTTCACTCTAGTATGCATTTCATTCTTATACGCTTTAAACCAATACCCAAAGGATTTGAACTTTTGCTCTGCAGAAGAAGCAAAGTCGATAGATAATTTGTGACACAATACAACAGCAGACTTTAATAATACAGAGTGATACACTTGTAATCATGGTAAATACTTATTATTTTCCGCTTGGCTAAGCGCAGAGACAGTAGTTCCTACCCTCTGATAGCTCGGTACTATGAAGAAGGAAAGTAGTTGGAGTAATGAAGTAAAGAAATTACCATTTGATGAGATTTCACTCATTGCTTCACCTGCTGTTTCCTCAGCAACGACATTTACATTGTTTTTGAATGACCTTACCACGGGTACAACTACGCTGATTGTCGAGACAATGCCAATCGTCAAGACTTCAATCCCAATAGAATTATTATAATAATCGGATTATCCTAATCACGATTTGAATACAAATTACATTTCTACCCCCACGTCCGATTCAGGAATAAAAACGTGGGAGGAATTACGGTCAAGTTGTTCAACTGTGCCATACCATTTATTCAAATAGGCGACAAAATCCTAAAATTGAGTAAGACTAAGAGAGTCCTGCACAGTAGGAAAAGGGTCTGGTTGAAAATTGCTTCACATAACCGTCAGTGAACAGAACAAACGAGTTAGCAATTGAAGCTAGTTCTTATAGCTAGACTATTAGTATTTTATAAATTAACTGGTAGCATGATAATAAGCATGGTCCTTTTCATGACGTGTTAGCTATCAGTTACTGTTTCATTTTAAAGCCGGCATACAAATAGAAAATGAAGAATTAACTCTGCATAGTGAATTATAATCCATACGAATAAGAAGATAGATAAGCATTGAGCATCAATTGCTTCGAAAGTCGTCTAATCCCTCCCTATCATGCATAAGTGAGGTAAGACGAATTTCGGCTGAGCTCAAGTCTCCGAATGAAATTGGTGTGCTTGTTGTTTGGGAGTTAGACAGCAACTGCTCGGATCATAAACAAATATCGTGCTGGTAAAGTAAGTAATCTTAGTGAGATTCTAACCAAATCAAAACCATCAGATACGATATGATTCTAACAGAGGAGAGCCTCGCTGAGAATACGAAAGCATGTAAACTGTAAGTACTAGGAGGGAACCTACATAAATCAGTTGTATATTCGTTAATTTGTGTTACACCCAGACTACTGAAATATGAACCAGGGTTTTTTTGCAGTGTAAAATTATCATACCCACCATTGATATGTATTTATTACGGCAATTGCTAATGAGCTGAACGGGCTCACTCAATTATATTTTTAGAAATGTTTTATACGGTACTCCTACCGGTAGGACATATTCGAATTTCAGCATTCCACGACCCAAATTTCACCATTCACTGTTTTGACTGAGTTTTTCTTGAATTGTGAATGGCGGCCATCTTACAGGGTCACTGAGGTTTGAGGATGGCACAAGACACGATTGACGTACTGATCAAAGTTCTATTCCCAAAGAAAGCTTTGATTAACGGGAAATCATCAGAATTTAAAAAGAGATTTTTGAAGAGAAGCTTTTCTGCCGTTTCCTTGACCGAAATTTGGCGGTCTTGACTGAAATTTTGACAAGTGACCAATGAGTGAGGTCGGTGAGAGTGACACAAGGAATCAAACCGCTCTGCTCCCGCTCCTACTAAATCGGGTTAAAATGCTTCCCTGGAGAGTTATGGGCAAAAAACCGTTTTGGTCACGTGACAGGCTAGTAAAATACGAATTCGATTGTTTAGGGCCCGGGTTAGGGTTAGGCCTAGGGTTGTGGTAAGGGTTATGGTTATTCGGGGTTATGGTTAGGGTTAGAGTTGGGATTAGGGTTTATGTAAAACCTTTTTGTACGGCTGCAAAACCATAAAAACCAAAGTCACGTGAAATTTTTGGGCGAGCGAATTAGTAAAAGCCTCCACGATTGGACAATTAGTCTTACTAACGAAACATATCGTGGACCCTTAAAACCACGTGTTGATTGACGATGTCAATCCGTCAACGATGCGAAGCAAGAATGCTAGTTTGCGCGGCGCGTCGAAGCGGCGAAGTCCTCCAAAACCACGTGTTTATTAAAAATAAACATTTTAGCAAATTAGTATGTGGATAATATTTGTGCTGGTTTCAAAATTACCGTCGTAGAGGAACTCAGACAGGAAATTGTTCTTAACCTTTTTAACGACAGGTTCCAGGTTAATTTTTATCTGAGATTTGATAAATCTATTTTTCGTAATATAATATTGCAATTAGTTTTATTATTTAAAAACTTCAAACTTGTTTCAATTCACTTATGATCCTTATATATGAAATTTTAAAAAATATATAATTTTATCGAATTCAAACAAATTATTGAAAGTAAATTATTTGAATTACTTACAAACGCTTGGCTAAAAACATAACCAGTCACGATTAGCATATATTTATATAATCTATTTATCAATATCACCTTACAATTCTACAGTCATCAGTCATGTCACGATTCGAATGCAATTACTAATACTACGATACAGTGTTAAACTACTATTCAATTTGAACCGGAACGTGATTTTATTTGAAACCGTAGTACAATTTGGTCATAATATTGTAGCGCGATGCACTACTGGGTCGCGCCGCGCATCAAATAATTCTTCTCGGTAGATCGGCGAGATGCACCTCTGACCACTGTGCCTCACCGAGCTTTGTCATACGTTGTATGACCCGCCGCGCACGAAGTGCGCGGCTCCCCCTGTAGCGTCGAAGACGCTACTATAGTGAAGCGGCAGTGGGGGTCACCGCGTGATACAAACCGAGCTGCGAAGGATTGACATCGTGAATCAAGTCATAATACGTTGTATGACCCGCCGCGCACGAGTGCGCGGCTCCCCCTGTATCGTAAGAACGATAAACCTTGTGATATATGACAGTAGATGAATCCATAAATTTGGAACATGGGCACATCGCAGTATTGGCCGTATTTGAGTGCTGGGAAGCCTCAATTCGGTTTTCTAAGATGGATATGGCCGTAAGCTAGGCCTAGGAGCCATCAAAAGTCGTATAAAATTACCCATGGAATGACCAGAAATGAACGAAAATGAACATTCTTCTCAAAGTGCTCCGAGTGGTTTAAAATGGGTCGGAAAGTGTTTATATTGGTCCTAGGACCACTCAAACCAAGGTTGGGAATCACTGCACGTCTAGAACCGATGTTACCTATGTTCCAAAATGTTCCAATTTTGGGACAATAATCCTCCTGAGAATCCAGATTTTTGGAACATGGGCACATCGAAGTATTGGCTGTATTTAAGTGCTGGGAAGCCTCAATTCGGTTTTCTAAGATGGATATAGGTAAAAACTAGGCCTAAGAGCCATCAAAACTCAAATAACATTACCCAGGTTCATGGAATGAACGAAAATGAACTAAAATGAATATTTATTTTTAATTGTAGTTGACGAAATGAGAGTCTCCACTCAGTGTGTTAAAACATAATTCTTTGTCGACGTTTCGGCTACATGCCTTTGTCATAAACAGGACGTACTGAAAACTTACATAGCTCAATAAATGTAATAGATTTGTAGTGTTGTAATTAGTTTAAATAAATGATTGACCCACTCATAAGAGCAAAACAAGATTACCAGTAAAATGAATATTGTCCTAAAAATGCTCAGAACGGTTTAAAATTGGTCGGAAAGTGTTTATATTGGTCCTAAGACCACTCAAACCAAGTTTGGGAATCACTGCACGTCTAGAACCGATGTTACCTATGTTCCAAGATGTTCCAATTTTGGGACAATAATCCTCCTGAGAATCCAGATTTTTGGAACATGGGCACATCGAAGTATTGGCTGTATTTAAGTGCTGGGAAGCCTCAATTCGGTTTTCTAAGATGGATATAGGTAAAAACTAGGCCTAAGAGCCATCAAAACTCAAATAACATTTATACCCAGGTTCATGGAATGAACGAAAATGAACTAAAATGAATATTGTCCTAAAAATGCTCAGAACGGTTTAAAATTGGTCGGAAAGTGTTTATATTAGTCCTAGGACCACTCAAACCAAGTTTGGGAATCACTGCATGTCTAGAACCGATGTTACCAATGTTCCAAAATGTTCCAATTTTGGGACAATAATCCTCCTGAGAATCCAGATTTTTTCCGTTCACCCTTTTGTAAAAAGGCAATAGTTCATTTTCGATCATTCCATGAACCTGGGTAATGTTATTTGAGTTTTGATGGCTCTTAGGCCTAGTTTTTACCTATATCCATTTTAGAAAACCGAATTGAGGCTTCCCAGCACTTAAATACAGCCAATACTTCGATGTGCTCATGTTCCAAAAATCTGGATTCTCAGGAGGATTATTGTCCCAAAATTGGAACATTTTGGGACATAGGTAACATCGGTTCTAGACATGCAGTGATTCCCAATCTTGGTTTGAGTGGTCCCAGGACCAATATAAACACTTTCCAACCAATTTTAGACCGTTCTGAGCATTTTAGGACAATATTCATTTTAGTTCATTTTCGTTCATTCCATGAACCTGGGTAATGTTATTTGAGTTTTGATGGCTCCTACTATGCCTAGTTTTTACCTATATCCATCTTAGAAAACCGAATTGAGGCTTCCCAGCACTTAAATACAGCCAATACTTCGATGTGCCCATGTTCCAAAAATCTGGATTCTCAGGAGGATTATTGTCCCAAAATTGGAACATTTTGGAACATAGGTAACATCGGTTCTAGGCATGCAGCGATTCCAAAACTAGGTTTGAGTGGTCCCAGGACCAATATAAACACTTTCCGACCAATTTTAGACCGTTCTGAGCATTTTTAGGACAATATTCATTTTTGTTCATTTTCGTTCATTCCATGAACCTGGGTAATGTTATTTGAGTTTTGGTGGCTCGTAGGCCTAGTTTTTACCTATATCCATCTTAGAAAACCGAATTGAGGCTTCCCAGCACTTAAATACAGCCAATACTTCGATGTGCTCATGTTCCAAAAATCTGGATTCTCAGGAGGATTATTGTCCCAAAATTGGAACATTTTGGAACATTGGTAACATCCGTTCTAGACATGCAGTGATTCCCAAACTTGGTTTGAGTGGTCCTAGGACTAATATAAACACTTTCCGACCAATTTTAAACCGTTCTGAGCATTTTTAGGACAATATTCATTTTAGTTCATTTTCGTTCATTCCATGAACCTGGGTAATGTTATGCTACTTTCGATGGCCCCTAGACCTAGCTTGCAACTATATCCATCATTTACAATTATTTAGGGCACTATTTAGAGCTTATTGGGGCAAATAAATGCATGGGACTGCACTTACTTTTTTTTACTTTGCGGGCGATCCTCGATCGAAATCCCGTTCACTATCTTCCTCAAAATTTTTTGATTGCACATGGCACAAGTTTATCCGGAGAAAACTTGGACGGATAATGAAAATTTTGAAAAATATGTCCTTTAGCCGATAGGACATTTTCAGAATTCAGCCTTGCTTCTGCATTGTGCATTGCAGATTTCAAATTCTACTGTTTAGGGGTCGTTTACAATTTATTAAATCAAAATATTTTTCAACAGGTCATAACTTCAATTGTATCACGTCGTGACCCCCATTGTCGTTTCACTGAGCATAATGTAGATCAGCAGCCTTTCAGAAGAAAAATAAAAATACACTTTTGAATTCATAAGTTAAGTATTTACACAGCTATACAACTATGAAGCAATGTATTGAAAATGATCATACTATGTGATTGGCATGCGTGTGAATTTGAAGTGATAAAAACACTGATTACATATTTACAATATATATATTTATTTACACATCTCTCTGGAAAAATAAAATCAGCTTCTCTTAATATTAAAGATTCGTGATACCAAAATATTTCAGTTTGTTTAGTGTTCATCTGTTCAACGCTGGGAGCGGTCAATGTCGTTTGCTAAAGCCAGATGGCGGATGTTGGCGATGCAGCCGGCAGCCGCTTCTTGGAGCTTCCAGTCGTCATCACCGACCATGTTGACGAGCCACTGTTTGGCGTGGTTCTCGTGCATCACCACACAGTTTTCTGGTTCCTGAAAGTCGTGGGATATGAGCATTGAGCAACAACGCAAATCGCATTGGCAACACTCAAATAAACAATAGAAGGAAAAAATAAAAAATAACGAACAATAAAAAAGGCTCAAGCCCATAAAGACCAGAGAAAGATATCAATGAGACGTTTGAAAGACTTATTGATACTTACAAGTGAAAGGTGGAAAAGTGCCATGGCAGCAGCTTTGTACACAAATGTGTCTTTCGATTTAAGATATTTTACCAAAGGCTTGACAACATCACGTGCACCAAACTCTTTCCTGTTGTTGCCCCAGATGCAACACCTGAAATGTTGCCCATTCACGACACAAAATATTGTCTAAGATTTAATAAGATACTAATGTTTTTGTGATTCTAAATATTAAGAGTTTTAATTGTATTTCTATAAAAAACATTTTTTTGTTGAAACCAACCTGCCGATAGCATCTGCTATGTGCCCTCTGACATAATCATCATTGGCATGAGCGACGACTAGTTTTGAAAGAATGGGAACAACTCCATGATCTGTCAATACAGCCAAGTTCTGTTCGTCTTTAGCGATATTAGCAACTGCACTACAGATGCTAGCCAAAACTTCGCGATTGTCTGATTTTAATAAGCTGACTATCAACTCCAAACCACCTACTAAACTTCGAACCTGAAACAAAAGTGTTTAATTGTATTTGGTAAAGGTATCATGTATTTCTTAACCAAAAGCTCTTCATTTTTCAAATTATTGATTTGAAAAAACTTACCATTTCTCCTGCATCTTTGTTGTTGTCGATACACGGACAAATAGCCCAGGCAGCACTGGACTGAACTTGAGGATTGGGTGATTTCAAAAGCGACCACAATAATCGTACACCATCATATTTGTCGATAATGCTGGCGCTATCGGGTTCAGTAGCACACTTTCCAAGGGCATGTGCCACGTTTATTAAGAGGATAGGATTTGTTCCGCTCAGTAGATTCACTAAGTGTGTTAACCCACCTGAAGTTAAAAACGTTTTGAACTGTGAACATGTTTAAAATAGTCCAGGTTAGGCACATAGTTTTTAAAACCATAAAAGCTACTGTAGTGAATCGTTGCTAGGAGAAAGTGATTAAGTACGTGCTCAAATGCTATCAGCGGCACACTTTTCGTGAAAAAGCTTGGTTTTGGTGCTGGAACTTTTTACTTTTTGCGGCGCGCACGCGCGCTGTGATGGAATTCACAGCTGACATCTTGACTTTTGAAATAAAATACTACAAACCTGCTTTTCTGATCTGTTCGATGTTTTCTGGAATTTTGGCACATTCTGCGATGGATCCTGCCACATTTATCATGACTTCCTCCGGCTGGTTATGTAACAAAGGAACTAAAGATTCACAGAGTTTGAGGCCTTTGAATATTTCGCAGTTTTCCTTGTCGATAGCAACTTTCCATATCGCTCCAGTTACTCCTTCTAACATGACAACATTTTCTGTAAATTTGATGAGTCTGGCTAAAGGTTCCAATCCGTCGTGTTGTCGAATGAGTGTTCTGCAAATTTCGTCTTCTGCACAATGGAAAATCGCTTTCGCGCAATGTGATACTAGTTCCTGAAATGATATTAGATGGTAAAATATTTGTTCTAGAACTCCAGCGAACAGAATATGCTGGAAGAAGTTCCACGAGGTTTTCACAACCACTATTTTAACAAAGTAGGAGATATGCTAAGATAGTTCCTCTTTTTGTCTAACTTATACATCCGGTGAATATGTTCTAGAATATTCCAGCGCATGTTGGCGAAAACACTGTGCTCAACCACGCGATAAATACGGAATACTCGTGAGAAAACATAAGCTGACCTGATTCTCTGACTCAAGGAATTTGCTGAGATACTGAATAATTCCACCGTCACATATGGCAGCCCTGTATTCAGGGTCAACTGAACACTCACTGAGTGTAGCTACTACTGGTACCAATATTGTTTCTACTTCCAGGGTTATCAGTTTACTGAGATGCTGGATCAGACCTGAACTCTTCATTTTCTGAAATGATTACGAAATCGTTAGCAAGAATTTGGTAGGCGTCGCGAAAGTAAGCAAGTGATTGTGTTTGATGAAAAATTGCGAAATTCAATACCAACACTGAATAAAATGAACTATCATGTTAGGTTTTCTTACCCTTTTATTTTTCTTGCTTTTGCTAAGAGAACACAATCCCAGAGCAGCACATCTGAGCAGCTCAACAGCTTGCTTGTCCTCCTTCAGTATATCAATGTTTGTGTTAGGTGGAATGTTGAGCAGAGATACGAACTTGCCTATACCGCCGTCTTTGCGCACGAGACGCCGAGCACGAGTCAATTTGGCGATGTTAGCGATGGTCTCCGCAGAGAGACACTGGAGGTCGGGTACCGTGGAGGAGAGAAGACCAATCAGGGACTGAATCGCACCAAGATCCGTCAGAGACCTGCTGATTGGCCGACTTTGGGAGATATCTTTCAGGATCTTCAACGAGGCTATCTGACACCTGTCGAATACCCACAATAATTACCACTATATGCTGGGTTGATTAGTTAGCAGCGGAATACCCATGGAATGAGTTACATTACTTGGTTATGACCAACGCAACATTATATTGATCAGAGAATTTAATCAAGCTTAAGTTACACCACTCTACTGAAACTTCAGTATAATTTTAATTAACATCTAAAAAACAAACAAGTGACTCACTTGATCTCAGTAGTATCGAGCAAGTTGACCAGAGCTTCCAAACCATCCACATCCCTGATAGCGATCTGGCATATATCTTGTGACAAGTCAAAGTCTCTCAGGGAACAAAGAGCGATGAGTGTAGCGGTGGGGTTACCCCCTTTCAGATACTTGATCAGCTTCTGTATCTGCCAGTACTCAGATGGCAGATCAGCATTTATCTGGAGTGCAGACTAAACATAAAGATATGGAGTTGTAAGTAAGAGATCTAGTGCGACTTGGAGTGTTTTCGAGGATATGCTCAGAGGAGGATGGTCTAAGTAACAAACATCAATTTCATTCATGGAAACAAATGTAGGGTCATCTAGAAATATAAAAGCAATCATCGTTTATAAAAGTTTGTCTGATAAGAAAACAAAAGGGACAATCTCTCGAAAGTAAGTAGCCTTTAAATAAAATGAATAAAGTAACCGATCTTAGAAACTATCATTACTGGGCAATAGATGAATATGAGAAGGATAGATCCATTGTCTTACCTTCCTACGGTCCCTGGTGTCATCATCATCGTCCATATCATCATTACTAGTCTCACTGTACGAGTCATCTGTTTTGTGTTTCTTACTGATGGACCGGCTGTTTGTCATGCTGCGCTGCACGCTGCGCCGTGTGCTTTCTGTTCGAGCAGGCATGGTTCTTAGCTACTAAAAATTGTGGGGGTTTTTAGGCAAAATAACAACTTTACTAATAACAACTTCACTAAAATTAATATCTAACTGATAAAATTTTGCGGTGTGAGAAATCAGCTGCAATCGGTCAACACAACGTTCAATATAAAGCTCAGCAACAAAGCTGTACAAAAGATATTTAAAAAATCGTAGTCCGTAGCAAAATGGATAATTTCTAAAGCATGTGCAAATATAGCAAGCACAGCAGTGCAATTTTGAGATTTATAGTGAAGCAAAACATTGAAACTATTCTTACTTTAGAATGGATAATGATACAAAATAAATTGCTATGATCGAGTAGATTAATAACTACAAATTGGTAAATAAATTAGAAATAAACAATGATGGTTAAAAAAAGAGGTTGAAATAGTATAAAATGCTTTAAGATTAAAAGCAATAATCAAATGGGCAACTTTCTATGCAAAGCATTTAAAAGCCACTAATTTCTGGTTATAAATTGATAAAAAGGGTCACTGTATTCTCGACGCTAATAATCGAATAAGTTAAATTGAAAATAGCATTATAATAAATTAATTAAAAAGATACTCGATGAATTACCTAATACTTACGAACAATTGGAGAGTACGGGATTAATATCAAGGTTCAGCCCTCTAAAAACTAGATTTAAACTAAACCCATCATATAAAAACAATCCCCATAACCCCTTACTTCATCTTCTCCTTCAGCAACTCCACAAAATCATCATCCTCAACGAACTTGAGCCTCCTGGGTGGTCCCAGCTTGATTCCAGACCAAATCTCAGTAACCTCCTCTCCGTCATGATAAGACACCTCAAAACTCTTGGATCTGGGTTTAGTGGTGTTGATGAGGACCGGAATGTCGGAATGTTCAGTTGAGATGAGTTTGTCGAGGCGAGTAGCGTGGCGTTTGTATACGGATCAGGACTTGCAGTGCTCGATGTAAAAGTATTTGGTGAGGTTTGTGGGCTCTGGCTCTTCAGAGGAGGTTTTGACCTTCTTTTGAGGGTCTGCTACAGTGGATTTCTTCTTTCGTTTGGGCATGGTTAACTAAGTGATATCGGGATAGTAACTAGAATTAACTAATCATAACCCAAGATAACATCTTGCTGCAGATAAACAAGTTGACTGTTCAGGTTGATTTTAAATCTATCAACTTGCGTCTTGCACAGATAATAAAACTATAATTTTAGTCACGGAAATAAATTAAGGGTCATCTAGAAATATAAATGTTATTATCAATTAAACAATTTTGTTTGATACAGAACAAAAGGAACAATCTCAAAAGATACGCAGGCAAAATCAGAAGTCTCAACTTATCTTCTAATCTTATAATATAAATTTCTATTTCGTTGCTAATAATATAAACTTTAAATCAAACCAATTTATAGAAAACCCAAAGCTACCTTAACAGATCTAAAAATGCGATAATCAACATTAAAACATCCACTAGTATTGAAGCTGAAGGTCATCTAAGCATGAACAACTCGCCCTGTTTATCAATCCTATCTCTAGTTTGTAGCAAAAATTTAACTTTAGACAACCGCTCCGCTGCCATTTTCAGATCATTATCATTAAAGTGCTCTTCGAATTGAGTGTAAAGCACAGCAATAGCATCCTCATTAAGCTGCTTAAGTTCGAGTAAAGTTGTACTATCCTCGCACATTTCTATCTGGTCATTAAAATCCATCATATCTGACAAAAACTCCATATCCATCGTTTTGATATTTGGATCAAAGTTGTTAATCTTGAGGAGTAACCTGGCACGGCAATAAGGATCTTTCAAACATTTGTTAGCTTCGTTAATCAGAGCTGAGTTTTTGGAGGCATGCTCCTGTTCTAGAGCAGAGGAAGTGGCGTGTTTATCAGGATGAAACTCTACTTGAAGTCGTTTGTAAACACGTGACAGTTTGGCCAGGTCCAGGCTAAAAGTGGGAGTCAGGGAGAAGACCTCGAAATAATTGCTGGATGTGAGGGGAGGTATTTTGCTGAGCAATCTGCGAAACAGGTGGAGCAACATAGCTGAGCGGTTTTCAGGAAGTTGTTACATGTCCTCACATGCTCCTCAATTCATAGTGTCCTCATTGAACATAGGATTCCTAAAGGGAGGTTGGATATTATTGTTCTAGGCTCAAACAGTGTTTGAAAAATATGAAATTGTGGACCAATAATTTTAGAATTCAGATGATATTTTTATCCGTACATACAACTGATGCGACAGTTGGTATTTCTTTTACAAAAACGATCAGATTGATTTCCAAACAAAACACTTTAGAAAAATTTCAACGTCACGTCACATTCAGAGATCACAATCTTAATTTTACTGTATAGCAATCGTTACCTCAGGGGTATTAACAAATCATAGAATTAAAGGTATATAAATAAATTAGCTAGATTTGAGCCTAGATCGAGCCTTTTATAAGGAGGCCGAGCCATGACAAACTTGTTAATTTGTTACTTGAAATTTGAATCAAACCCTCTTATAATAGCTAGCTAAAATATTTCAGATTAAGAGTCAGTTTCTCAGAGCAGGTGAATGAAGTCCAGTATAAAACACTAGTGATGGACAGGATCCTCCCAGATTAGATCAGGTTCAGGGTGAGGAACACATGCGTAACAAGATCCACAATCCCTGCATCTTCCCATCTGAAACAAGTGCTGTGTTAGTACTTTACTCAATATGTCATGAAATGTTTTTAAACTGTAAAATGAAATATTCAACTATCAGCCATTTACTGAATATTCTCCAGAATAAAACTCTTCTTCAAAAAGGAAAAGAAGTAAGGCTAACAGCAAATAAAGTAATCATATGAGTACCTCATTAACTCTTATGAGCATGTAATTGATGTAATGCTGGTCGTCCATGCAGTCTACACAACCAATAACACGGTAGTCCTCCATAGTGTAGATAATGTGAGGGCGAGTGTGGTCAGTTCGGGGGTAGAACACACCCTCCACACACCAGGGGTCGGGGTTACCTGAAAATTATAGTGTTACAAAACCAGTACAGTGCAATGTGACATATTTAACAAATTTAAACTAAATTTACCATTGACATATATAATTTTGTGAAGCGCTGTTGATCGTTCCTTTTCACTGTACACATCAATCACGAAATTCTGAGACATTGGAACTTACCAGCCAGGACTTGTCTATATTCCCACCCAAGTTTCCCTTCTGTAACATACTCCCATTCAGGGATAATTTCACCTTTCTCCATCCTGTCAAGTGCTCCAGGCACTTTCCTTTCCACCATCATCTTGTAATCCTGAAATTTTCGATTATAATTTAGAATCATTACATCATTAATCATTATGAATGCATTTTACAAGAAGTTATAATGGTTGAGCCTGTAATTTAGAGGAATTACAATAACGATTAATTTGCAAACCTTTTTGGATTTGGCCCAGTGGAAAGGGTTCAGCATCTCTGTAGTGATCACCTTTGACATCTTCGCCGTTTCTTTTACAAGTTGAAACAGCCCACGTCCGAGACCGTTTGACATGGTTGTGCCCTAATTCAGTTAAACAAAAATTTTCAGTTAAACAAAAATTTCAATTTTATGCTATTTATTACATATTAAACAAGTTTACAATAAATCAATTTGATATTTAACGGAATCCTAATTCAATGTGCAGTATGGTTGTCACTCTTTAAATAGATTAGATATAGGTTGACAGGGCAAAGGAGTGTTTGTGCTGTTCGCTATTGCTCACACCAAACGGCAACCTAGTAAATGGATTGGATTAATACTGTGATGAGAGTGACTGATGTACATTGAGTTTACAAATTTAGGAATGTGATGGTATTTTATTATTAATTTCAAATACATAATAGTTAAAAAAGGTAAAAACATCTTGCAGCTATTACATGTTTGGGAGTGAGGCCCATGGCCATGGTCAGTTATATCTTCAAAAAACCTCTGAGGATCAACGCTTTGAACCTCTAAAAATCGTCCAAAACCAGGGTTTAAGATTTTCTGTCCAGAAAATCTGGGGGGGGGGGGGGCCGGGGGGGGGGGGGGGGGGGGGCGAACCATATTAAAGTATATTAAAATGTAGGTTTTTTCCCCAATTTTGACCCGGGATATACTTTAATATACTTTAATATACTTTAATATACTTTAATATACTTTAATATACGGGTATATGGCCCCCAGAATATAGGTGGCCCCCAAAATATAGGTCATGTTAGTGGATACAGTTCTAACCAAGATAAGCGATACTAATGGGATCTGTTACTGCTATGTTGGAGTAAAACATGTAACTAATGTTTCTGGATAAAAATTTTGGACCTACATGAGGTATTTTGGTATATTTGGTCATGACAGCGAAAGATTTAAACGATGTTGTCATTTTCTAGAGGGGTAAATATGGCGAAAAATTGTCATGACAAAAATCTGTCCAACACATGCCATTAAGACTACTGGTATGAGTATAAGTATTATTTTAAGCTATCTTTTCATCGAGACATCTGCAAACTGACAATTTGGAAAAAAGTTATGGCCACCACAATTTTACGGGCCCCCAGAATATAGGTCTATACGACCCCCAGAATATAGGTTGGTCAAAAACCCTGAACATGCCCAAAACCATGCTTTGGGATGCTCTACTTGTAGCTACTAGTCTCCTGAACCCACATATCAAGTTTTATCAAAATTGGATAAAAATTGGCCGAGTTATGGGATAAAAACAAAAACCATATGCCCATATTTGGGCATACGCACCAAAGCATATATTACACATTCTCTATGATTATCAGCTCAATATCTACCTAACTGTGGATTCTGTGTTCAAATAATCGCAAAAAATGAACAAAATCGCCCATATCTCAAACTGACTTCGCTCAAAACAATAGAACTCAATAGGGTTTCAATATTTTCACATGAAATTTTCAGAATCAACGTAGTGTCTGATTTACAGTCATTGAGGTGCACATTGTATTGATACAGATAAAAACAGCCCCCCTCAATCATATCTAGGGACACTCCTTCAATCTTATTTAAGTATTTAGTTAAGATCCCTACTAAATGAGTGCATGAAAGCTTTTTAACTAGTAAAATTAAAGATTTTACTCATTACGGGTATATGGCCCCCAGAATATAGGTTTTAAAAAAAAAATAGCGACCAAGATTCTGCATTTTCTCTGTCACCCTGAGCATTAAGGAATGTGGGGTAGTGATGAGAAACAGTTAAAGAACATATGCTGAAGAGATGGCATCATCAAAATGTATGAAGGTGGAGTATTTGAGGACGATTTTTGCATACCTATATTCTGGGGGCCGTAGTTTTTGATTTTTTGCTATTAAGTATACTCTAAACCATTTCAATTTAGTATCTGGAGCCATTGGCATCATCAATACAGTCTCAGCAACATATTCTGACTGCATATACCTGTCTGTGACAATTTTAGAACAACTTAGGAACAGATGTTTGGACCTATATTCTGGGGGCCCTGTTAAAAAATGGTATTTTTACAGGTGAAAAAAAAGTACACTTAAAAACCTAATAATTATTTTCAACTACCCAAGAAACATTTAAAGGGTTATTATGTACATATTTACAGCCCTAAACATGCTTAGAAGTAGTTTTAACACCTGTTTCTAAGTGCTCAAAAAACGACCTATATTCTGGGGGCCATATACCCGTACCTACATTATAAAAAAATATGTGAAAAATTTTGTTTTATTTAATGTATACCTTACTCGGGAATATTATGACTGGGATAAAGTGGTGGGTTTTGGAAAATTCCGCCATATTTTTCCCGGTCATTAATTTTCCCAGTCATAAATTAACCCGCTATAATGTTCCCGAGTAAGGTAAACTAATAGTAATACATTTTGATGCTTGGTGGGTTTTGGAAAATTCCGCCATATTTTTCCCGGTCATTAATTTTCCCAGTCATAAATTAACCCGCTATAATATTCCCGAGTAAGGTAGATTAGATTTACCTTTCATGTAAAGTTAGTCTTGTTCAAAGATATTGATACTTGACCAATTTATGAGCCAAAATATATGAAGTATGAGTTCAGGGGACTAGCAACTGGCTTATCTTCTAATCTACTAATTGTAGGTGTATTAAAGTATATTGGAGAGAGTGTTGAATGTGGAGAAGGCTACCTTCACCCCGGCTGTATTCCTCACATCTGGAGGAATGTCTAAAGAGTGTAAGCAGTTCGTCAACAGAGTAGCAGACCTCATTGCAAGAAAAAGGAAGGAAAGCTACTGCGATGTAGTAAGACACGTGAGAACTAGGATAAGATTTGCAATGTTGAGAACAACTCTTATTGCTCTACGAGGGTACCGAGGAAAGAAGGTGGACACCAAACGTGAGATTCAGCTATCAGAAGTTTCATACAACCTCATCTCTGCCCCTATAATGGAGTAGATCATGTGTTTTGTTAAAATGTTTTTGAAAAATTATTGGTAGCAATGAATTGTGCTCTGCCAATTGCAACACTTAAAATTTGATTGTGCTCTGCCAATTGCATCACTTGATTTAATTGAATGTATATATACTGTTTGACACACTTTTCTATTAAAGTATATTAAAATGTAGGTTTTTCCGATTTTGACCCGGGATATACTTTGATATGGTTGCCCCCCCCCCCCCCCCCCCCCCCCCCCCCAAATCTCCTCTAAATGGTCCCTAGGACACATCCTGAAAGTTGTAGGGTGATAGCTCAAGGAGTGTAGGAGATTGAAAGATGCTCAAGCAACACAATTTTTTAGATATCATTGAGCATAAGCAGTGATACAACGTATTAAAACTTTTAATACTTTCAACACTACTATATAACAAATAATTTGAGATGATTCATCGATCCTGTTGATGGCGGTAAGCCGAAACTAGTCGAGACTTTGCGGATCATCCCGAGATACGTTGTATCACTGCTTATGCTCAATGATATCTAAAAAATCTTAAGATGTGAAATGTTCACAGTTCTGATAATGAGGAAATCAGAAAGAATGTTTAAAACTAGTGATGATGTTTATGTCATTATTCTTAATCTAATCTAATCTAAGATCCTAACGTATTTTATCTTGGGAGGATTGCGGCTAATTAACACCCTTGCTGGACAATCTCTACTTTCCTTAACGTCAGCGAAAGCTTTATCAAGCAACACAATAACACACAAGCACTGACCTCAGACAGGCGATAACTTCGGCTAGGAACAATATTTTTCTATAGGATCAAAAGTAGCTGATTGGTATCACCCCCCTCTATTAGAAAAAAACTACTAAGTCGATTTCGAAAGTCTTTCCAGAGCGGTACCAAACTTCTTAATGTTGTGAAGAATGGAAAGACAAAGAGTCCTTTCTCTGACTGAAGTCTGTCTCCGCTCATAGATGCTCACTGTACATCTTATCTGGTTGCTTCCATACATTTGAGTATGTAAGAATGTCAATGAATGTTCTTTCAAACAGCAGCAACGTCAACACGGGCTTCACTACAATAGTAATAGTACGGAGAGAGAGAGAGGAAGTAAATAAGCAAATGGGATGGCTCGCCGGATGAGTTATAACAGGACTAAACAGCAAGTTTGTTTTATTACCGAAAATCAATTTTCACAGATTAAATGATTTTGGGACTGAACCTCGATTCCCAAGGCATTTCCGAGACGCTTGGTAGTACCTAAAATTGTGAAACAAATTTGTGAAACAAATTTAAAATTTTATCCTTTATTTTACAATCATAATATAATAATATTTATAAGCCTCCGTTTTGAAAGTTTAAAATTTCAATATATCCGCATTTTTATTTAAAGTTCAATTCTATGTAAGTCAATAACTGTGAACTGGCCGTCAAAGCCGCACATTCATGAAAACAGTAATAACTTGTTTATAGTTATACGACAAAGTAAATTTAAAACTATCCGTGGTTTTTTAAATAATTTTTTTTAATGAAATTAAATTATTTAAACAATATACACATAATATAGCAATGACCCTATTTAATTGACGATGTCAATTCATCTCAGCTCGGCGCGGCACAGTAGCGCATCTCGCCGATCTAGAGAGGCCTCATTGAGTGCGCGGCGCGGCACAGTAACGCATCGCGCTACAATGATCCTATATAAAATCAACCCTTTAAGAATTCAAAAAATTCCCTTAACAATCAAAAATTACCCTTGGCCTTGTGGCTTCAAGTTAAGATCTAAACTGTTTATATCAACAATGTTTTTCTCGCACCTCTGTCTCCACGGAGAGAAATCACTGTTGTTTTAACCCATTAGGGACGATAGGGTCGTTTTTATGACCCACCTTTTCTAGACGAAAAACCAAATTACTAAACGCTATAACGAATCTATGGCATATATGCTCAAAATTTATTGGGCTACGTATAATGAAGCCCAATAAATTTTGAGTATATATGCTATAGATTCGTCATAGCGTTTAGTAATTTGGTTTTTCGTCTAGAAAAGGTGGGTCATAAAAACGACCCTATCGTCCCTAATGGGTTAAGGTTAATTGACAATGTCAATTCATGGCAGCTCGGCGCGCGGCACAGTAACGCATCGCGCTACAATTCTAAGGATTTCAAAGCGAAGGCGCTTTCTAATGTATCCTTTTTGAATAAATTACAATCTTACCTATTTTGGTGTTAAGATATTTATATTTTTCCATATCAGTGGTTTTCCTGTGCCAAGTTGATATAGTGATGAAAATCACAAAGCTAAAGTTACTGGGCCGCGCTCAGCCTGTCATTCCGCCAAATCTTTATTTATTATGTTTATTTCTTTATTTATTATGTTAATGAACATAATAGCCTGGGGTCCTCAGGTAAAGCTATAAAGGTGCCATAGTGCAAAGAAACTGCTGATCATGCTAAATATAGTGCTAACTGCTGCTAACTGCTGCTGACTCCTTCACCTAACCATGCGCTTTCGCGCCACTTCGGGCGCGCTTGTTTCACAAGTCAAAGCTAAAGTTAAAGTTACTGGGCCGCGCTCGTGAGGCGGGCGCGCGCGTGAGGCGGGCGCGCGCTACTGCAAGCGCAAGGGCTCTGGATAGAGCAAGCTGACTCCTGTGTCGGACATCCACCAAATTTTTCGGACACTTTTGACCCCAGGAATCCTTACCGTTAGGGGCCTAACTTCGGAAGTAAAAGAAATAGAAACGTCTGGTTTTCAACAAAATGTCCGTCTCGTAAAACTAAAGTTAGCTCCCCAGGAGCCAAATTCAAAACAATGTAGATTTTGAATTATCGCGAAAAGTCATATTTTAGGCCTTATAAAACTGCGCAGCTTTAACTTTGCGGATTCTTGTTCTCTGATTGGCTGAATCGTATCACGTGATACCTGGTACAATTGCATTCTTGGATTAATTGCAAAGCGTGCAAATGCAATGAACTAACGAGCACGCGCAGAGTTCAACAAGCTGTGAAAAGGCGATCACCCTGTATAGTAATATCGCTAGCCGGTAAGGTCTGCTGGGTTACTATACGAAAAATATATGTTTTTCTGCATTCTGCAGATGTTCAGGTAGAACCACCTCTACTTATACCTGTGGATTGGTTACACTTACAGCTACCTAGATGCAACATTGTTTTAGCTTAGAGCTATTACATATTATTAATCTAACTAACTGTGAATTCTTGCAAACCTTCATAGCAAACCTTACTGGACAGATAGACTTACTCAAATGTCTAAAGCACTCAGAGAAGCAAAGAGATTATATATGAAACGTAACACCTTGTCGAACAAAGCTGCCCTAGATCATGCCAAAGGTTTGTTTGATGAAACTAGGAAAAAAGAGTGTCAAAAGTTCATTTTAACGAAAACTAACAATCTCAATGCCTCCCAATGTACAAAGTTTTGGAAAGAATTCAATCGGATGTTTTCTAAAAAACGTGACAACAAGGTAGAGCCCTTCAAGGAAGCAAGTGGTGATCTTATCACAGATTCTAAAGACATTGAAGAAATTCTATTTGATAGCTTCTTTGCAGGTAAACATTTGCTGGAAAAAGGAACAGATTTTGATGCAAAGTTCTATGAAGATGTCAACAGAATCTATAAGGAATGTCTTGAATCTAATGAAAGTGAGCCCCAAGACTCTACCTACACAACCGATGATGAAGAGGATATGCTAAATGGGGAGATAAATAAAGCTGAACTTCAACACTTCTTCAAAAATTATCAAGCAGCAGGAAAAGGCTTTGATAACTTTGAATTCCATCCCGTAATGTTTAAAAAATTGGGAGGAACTGCCTGTGAATGTATTCTTGCATTGTTGAATTCATGTTTGAAGACTGGCCACTGGGTTTGGGATATTGCTGATGTAATATTTCTCAAGAAGGAAGGCAAAACTGACTACAGCAAGGCAGGATCATATCGACCGATCTCTATAACATCCTATATTGGTAAGGTGTTTGAACAAATAATTGCTAATAGATTAGAAGAGCACCTTAGAAAAAAGGGCCTAAGCGATGAGTATCAAGAGGGGTTCACAAAAAAGCGCAACACTGTTCGTTATCTAAACAGACTGGATAATGATGTTCGTAATCATCTTCAGAAGAAATACACGGTCATCTGTCTCTTCATAGATTTTGAAAAAGCTTTTGATAGTGTTTGGAAAAAAGGTCTGATGAAAAAGTTGTCCGACTTTGGAGTATCCGGAAGTATGTGGAGACTTATAAACAGTTTTCTCTTCAACAGAAAAGTTCGTCTTGTATTCAACAACTATACTGGCTTCATTAGAGCATGTAGAGAATTTGGACTACCACAAGGTTCAGCATTATCTCCAATTCTCTTCAAATTCTATTTGCATGACCTTGCACAGGATCTCACTCTCAACCCAGATATAGGGGTTTTCAAGTTTGCAGATGATGGAACATTAAGGGTCAGAGGTGAAACAACACACCAGTGTCTTCTCAATCTACAGATGACATGTTATGCTATCTATAAATGGAGTATAACATGGAGAATGATAATAAACTGTGATCCCGGAAAAACTGAACTAATTGGATTTGGAACTGCAGAAAACGATGAAACGCTTCTTCCATTGTCATTTCGTCTTGGTAGCAACGAGATCAAGTTCGTCGAAAAGACCAAAGTACTAGGCTTGATAATGGATAGAAAGCTCACCTACATCGAGCACGCAAAGGATATTAACAGAAAGATACTTGGCCGGTGGGCTACAATTTGCAAGTATACAAACCGCAACTGGGGATTCAGACAACATGTCATTGTAAGGCTAATTGAAGTTCTCATATATTCACGAATCCACTATGCTGGAACTGTCTGGATCAATAATAGAAGTATCAAAGAAGTTGAAAGTGCTTGGTATAGGACTATAAAAGCAGCTTTGGGTGCAGTGTTCAATGTAAGACTAACTACAGCTGAAATGATACTTGGTGTGTTGCCACTCAACATATCAAACAAAGTGAACTCAGTGAAGCACATCCTTAAACTGAATATATTCCCGAATAAAGAGGATCCACTGAAACACCTTATTGATGACCAAATGAAATCAGGCAGTTACAGCCCACTAACTGGAAAGGTAAAAGATGTATTTCAGTTTTTGTTGTGGAAATCTTCGATACTTCCTGAACACTTCACTAATGAGGATCTAAAAATCATAAATAACCATGATCTAGAAAAACTCACCTGTCTATCAGTAAAAGGATGCAGCTACAGTAAATCAGTGATGAAACATTACAGTGAACAGCTTTGGCAATCGTCCATAAACAGCCAGTACCAGCTGGAAGGGTATACAGAGGCACCTACAGTGAGCGCCACAAAGCTGAAGTTTCCACCTAAAACATCAAGGCAACTTGAAACCTTGTTTCTAAGCTTGTTCTATCCGAA